GTTCTCTCAAGGTTTTTTTTCTTCACTCCCATTAGGTGAAGTTTTTTACCCTCTCCGCTGTTGCCACTGGCTCGCATGGTTCAGGATTGGTAGAGCTATGCATCGATGAATGTTCTCTTCAGTGTTTGAACTCTCAGTAATGATTAAATCACACTGAACCGAGCTAAACTGAACTGAACTGAACTTAAACACTAAAAACTGAACTACACTGTTCAAGTTACTATGACCATTTATGTGAAGCTGCTTTGACACAATCTACATTGTAAAAGCGCTATACAAATAAAGCTGAATTGAATTGAATTGAATTTACTACGAAAGGAAAAGCCTTGATTTTGTCTCCCATATGATCTGATGAAAGTACTTTTGTTTGATAGTAATGTATAGTATCTGTAAATTTTTAGTGTGTGGAATTGTTGGACAACCACCACACACACATTAAACAGCAAAATAAACATGTCTATAGCTTACTAAAAGCCTTTATGTTTGTTCATATATTTTATATAAATGCAGAGCAGCAAGACCCATGGGATTTCATCAGCCACTCACCATCAGAGTCCTCAGTGGAAGCTAAGAGCAGAAGAGGAAGCCAAGCAAGAGATGCCAGAAAAAAGGGGGAAGTTAATAATGTGTTATTTTGCTGTTTGAGTATAGGCAGGCGCAGTGGGTAGCACAATCGCCTCACAGCAAGAAGGTTGCTGGTTCGAGCCTCGGCTGGGTCAGTTGGCATTTCTGTGTGGAGTTTGCATGTTCTCCCCATGTTAGCGTGGGTTTCCTCCGGGTGCTCCCACAAGTCCAAAAATATGTGGTGACATTGGGTAAGCTAAAATTGTCCATAGTGTATGTGTGTAAATGAGTGTGTATGGATGTTTCCCAGTGATGGGTTGCAGCTGGGTGGCAACACAGGGGCACAGTAGGTAGTGCTGTTTCCTCACAGCAAGAAGGTTGCTGGTTCGAGCCTCGGCTGGGTCAGTTGGCGTTTCTGCGTGGAGTTCTCCCTGCGTTTGCGTGGGTTTCCTCCGGGTGCTCCGGTTTCCCTCACAGTCCAAAGACATGCGATACAGGTGAATTGGGTAGACTTAATTGTCCGTAGTGTATGCGTGTAAATGGATGTGTATGGATGTTTCCCAGAGATGGGTTGCAGCTGGAAGGGCATCCACTGCGTAAAACATATGCTGGATAAGTTGGTGGTTCATTCCACTGTGGCGACCCCAGATTAACTAAAGGACAAAGCCGAAGAGAAAATGAATGAGTATAGGCAATGATAGACAATATAATGTTTGATTAAGATGAAGTGTTTTAAAATGCTTATTTATTAAAATAAAGGTTAAAAAGTAAAGAAGAAATATATTGTGTGTTTGTATATTTATTTTACTGCCTTCAAGATTTTACATTGTAAACTAAAGGGAACAAGGGGGGAACAAATGTTGTATTTACCCTTTCACTACAGGTAACAAGGGAGGAACAATGCTTCACTTTAATTTACAACCCTCAAATGTGGTATTTACCCTGTAAGTACAGGGAACAAGGGGGTAACAAGGGAGGAACAATGCTTCACTTTAATTCACAACCCTCAAATGTGGTAAGTACAGGGAACAAGGGGGTAACAAGGGAGGAACAATGCTTCACTTTAATTCACAACCCTCAAATGTGGTATTTACCCTGTAAATACAGGGAACAAGGAGGGAACAAATACTGTATTCACCCTTTAACTACAGGGAACAAAGAGGGAAGAAGCTGAACTTTAACACACTAGTGTATACTTGAACACTAAGAACAGAGTAAACTACAGCAGCAGTTTTTATTGATTGAAGTCCAAATTACTACATTTTTCTATAAAGCATCAGCTATACATTTACTGAAATGCAACAGTTAGCCCCCCTGTGCAAACAGCAGTAAAGATGCGGGCCTGTTTTAATCTGCATTGAACCCTGACGGTAGGCCTATGTCATGCAAAGTTATTTGTTGATAGTGAGTGAGTTATGGAGACATTGATGGCTTTGGTGAGATCGACGAGTAAACATAAGGTAAGTAGTGTATGGAAATATATTTTCTATTGAATTGCAGATTTAAAATACATACAGTCAGGCCCGGATTGGCTAATCGGGAGGACCGGTAGAATTCCCGGTGGGCCGGTCCATTTTCGGCCGCGAGGGCCGGTGTCCCTCGCTCCAGAATCTGTTGCTCTCAGCAGTCACACGTTTTAAAATAATTTATTTATTTACTTGACCACAGTCATCTTATTCATTATTTTACTGCAGCTCTACTCTTTTTATATATAACCGGCCTGCAGGTTAATGATGATAGATGGTCTATACAGCTGGTGTGGTCCAGTGGTTAGCATGTTAGATAACGACGCCGCCGACCTGGGTTTGATCCTCGACTGTGTATGTTAAATTTTTTTTTTTTTTCATTTTTATTGTTAAGACATATAATACTTTTAGGGTTGTTGAACATTTAAAGTTCTAAAGCACCTGTTTTCTCAAAAAAAGACGGGATAGTGTAATTAGAAACTGAATTGGAAATGACCTTATTTTAATATAGTCAGTCGTGAACTGAGGTGGGCCGGTCTGAGGCTTGAAACTCCAGGGCTGAAAAAGAGTCCCACTCCGGCCCTGCATACAGTATACAATAAGGGTTCATAATTTCACAGGTTGTAAACCTTTTATTCATTAAACACCCCATATAAAACCCAAGCACTGAATAAGAGTACTAATGTACTCACGCAGGTGCATGTAAAGTACATTTGCAGATAGCAATAGGTTGTCACCATCCTTGCATAATTCTTTATATATGTATACAATACTTGAATAAAAGTACATCGTTAACGTAATATACTTACGCGGTTCTTTGCGTGATGAATATCTTATTGTTACTCCCCTATTGCGCATATATTATGGTTTGTTCTTTTGCAATTTAAAGAAAAGTACAACGTTATTTCACTGTACTTACACGGTACTTTTCATGCTGAGTATCTGGTTGTTACCCCCTTATTACCCAAGCATTACAGTTTGTTCCCTTATACTTAAGTAAACGTTAATTATACTTACACTATACGTACAGAAAAGTACACCGTTATTTCACTGTACTTACACTGTAATTTTCATGATGAACATCTGGTTGTTACCCACTTATTACCCAAGCATTACGATTTGTTCCCTTATACCTACACATACGTTCATTATACTTACACAGTATGTACAGAAAAGTACACTGTTATTTCACTGTACTTACGCGGTACTTTGCGGGTTGTAAAAGAAAGCGTTACCTGAAAATAATTTTATTATTTATTAGAATTTATTTATTTTAGTTTTTTAGCTCCGAATTCAATCTGACTCCAATTTAAATGATCCTAAAATTTAGATTATATTTCTAATTGTAAAAACGGATCACATTCATCATTTATGATTTAATTTAGAGTTTTGATATTTTCTGAGGTCCGATATTCTAAATTGTACGTTCATTAGGGACCAACATCGCTCAGAGTTCCACGCCCCAGGTTTGCGCTTCTTCTCACGGACAATATGTCGACACTCTGAAAATAGTCAGAGGATGCAGGATTAACTATATTTGAATAAGCTGGTCGCATTAATGCTTACCTAGTCTTAAAAAAAACAGATCCTTAGCCAAGCCCATACAACTTGCTACTTCTAGTGATTAAATGATTAAAAGGTCTACATGTTATAGGCTCTCTATGGCTACGTATAATCAAATGTGCGTATTAATCAATTCAATTTATGCCATACTATAAAGGTTATGAAGACTCCTCATAATCTACTGGATACAAGGAATTCGCAAAACTCCAGAATTAATCAAAACTTAACATTTTATTTGTCAGGTAAAATTGTATTCTGCCAATTACATAATAAATCATCAGGAAGCCAATTCAGAGATGAGACTGTAACAATAAAACATCCATTAATCAAAGATAAATCAAAGAGTTAGAGATGCATACCTGACCAGAGAAATATCAAGGGTCTGATATTTTGGATCCTTAAATGTGTGTTCTTGTTTTTATTAAAATTTACAAATCATCCCAACTTTTCTGGAATTGGGGTTGTAATTACACCCTACACTGACAGGCAGTTACTTTCTATATTGTATGATACCATGCTCTATTCCACTGTCTTCTTACGTAATCTCTTTTGTGCTGTCCAGTTAGATCAAAAGCAAATGTTTTTGGCCTGCTTTCCACAGCAGATATAGCAGCAGGATTTGACCCAGAGTCAAGGACAACACATTTCAAGGTCACTCCTTCTGCACTAATATATATATATATATATATATATATATATATATATATATATATATATATATATATATATATATAATTTTTATTATTATTTCTTTTTCTTTTTCTTTTTAGCTTGATAAAACTACTTATTTAAAAATGAGCTGAAACAACACAATTCTTGAGATTTCATTACCACTTATTTTTTCAATGTTCAATCCACATAAATTTGTAAAGTGTTAAGTTAACTTAATTGATTTGTGTTTTGAGACAATCAATTGTGTGGAACACTCTTAAAAAAAAGGTTCCTTGAGGTTCTATATGGAACCTTGGGGTTCTATACTTGGCCAGTAGAACTTTTTACCCAAAAAATGGTTCCATTTAGAACCCTTTGACTGCAAAGAATCTTTTTGATTAAAATGGTTCTATAATTTTTGAATCATAACATAATTATGTAGTAAGGATTCTAAAATAATTATAAGTTATAACACAGAGAGACAAAGCTTTTTGAGTCAAAACCTAATAAAATGAATGCTGTGGTCAAAAACTTAATCAGTGTACATTATGATGGGATTGTTTTATGCAGGTTTGTACAATAGCATATAACTTATAGGCCTAGTTTGTCTTTAACATTTTTGACAAATTATTTTGTGAAATAAATAACCAATTTATTTAGACTGTGCAGTAACATGTTGTTATGGTTTAATAATTTATTTGAAACTAATAATCATAAAAAAGCCCTCTGGTGACGTCATTCATTGACAAGGACATCGTCATGGACCAGTGGTGAAGAGCCTCGAGAGTGAAGGTTAATTTTTCGAAAGGAGAAGTCCACTATTTCAGCTTCATCATTCAGGTATCTTAGTACATTTAATATATATAGTGAAATATTTTGTATTATGAAGTAAGGTTTCTATTTGATAGAAAATCCCTCGTGTTAAATAGTGATACAGACTGAATGGGGTTAACTTTAGCGTTAATATGGATAAACACTGTGCTTGTGATGACCTTGGTCGTCACCCTTCGGTTCAGAAATCTGTTAAGTTGAATTTGTTCTGCTTTTTATTCGAAATAAGTTACAATATCGCTATACTTGTTTGTCAGTACTACTAATTAAATTACCGATAACAGTACACAGCTGTGTTATTTGAAGGCGAGCTTCGAGAGAGCGTGAATGAAGCATGTGCATGTTATTTTAAAATTAACTAGATTTGAGCCAATTTCATCGTGTTTTTCGTGTTGTTTTTAGCTCCAACCTTGAACAAACGCTCACTTTTAGCTTGGTTCGTGTGTGTTTTATCAGTGATTGAGCTAAACTCTGCAAAGTAGTGGACATTACTGCCCGCTTTTGAGACGTTCCCGCTAGTCTGCATAAAACCGCAAGATAGCAGTGCACCGCTCGTGCCCGCACAGGCAGATTCGTGCCCGAGTCTGTGCATGCGCGGGAGGCCTGTCACGATGGCAAGTTCTCCCTATGGCCAGTCCGCCCCTGAATATTATTGAAACCTTTAAAAAGCCAAACATATTTTAACAATCCATAGATGAAAGATCAGGTCTTATTTATAAAAGACACAAAAATGGAGACTAAATGTATTGTGAAATTATATATATATATATATATATATATATATATATATATATATATATATATATATATATATATATATATATATATATAGTGCAAAATAAGTTTAAAATAAATGTTTTAATGTATATTTTATTTTTCTTCAAACAGCCTGGAAACTGAACTGCATCATAAAACTTGTGCTTGGTATGTATTATTGTTTTAAAATCCAAACAAAATGTATTGTGGTCAGTAAATTGAAATAAATATTATAAAAGACTTCAAGATTGTATTTATCATTACAGAAAAGTGTCATGGGACCCATATTAAGTTTCCAAATTTGATCTGCTGCACACAAGTAGCTTTGAAGAAGAAGGATCCCAGCTTAAAGAAAAACACGTCACATCCATAATTGTTTGACATCATCTTCAAGCACACCTGGTAAAGTATTGTATTTTATAACATGCATAATTCAGACTTGTTGGTTGTTGTGTACTGAAAAAAATATATTTATCACAAAAAATATTCTATTACTACTGCTGTTTTAATACAGTGAGAATATTAAGGTCGTTGCTTAATAAAAAGTCCTGCAGAGAAGAAATATGTATTGAAAGGTGTAAATTTGCCTACAGGATTTCTTGTTGCAATGTCTTCAAAACAAATGTAAAAATGAAAGGATTTCAGTGGTAAACTCATAATGATGGGATCAAAAGGAAGTGAACTGGACTCTGAGGGACCTAACACAAGGTAAGTTCATTTCAATACATTTTATGTCAAGATTAATTCTGTGATTTAAATTTATATTTACACACTCTACAAATGCTGTCTTTTTACCTCAGATTGTGATGGACCTAGAATGCGACACCGTTTACGAATAAGTCAAGAACCAAATGAAACACTATTTTCCAGAGTACAGATTATGGAGGGGTCTGCGAAATGGAGCAGTTTCTTCTTCTTGGAGTGCCACAGCTTGTAAGTAACCAAACACTGTTACATTGTGTGCCAAATAGATATGAAAAATCTGTGTATATGACATTTTAAAGCTCATTTGGTAAAGCAATGCATTAGCAATGCCAAATGTGTTCCAGGTCTCACATATTAATAAATGTATAGATTAAACACAATCTAAGTCCCTTTGGATAAAAGTAGTTGCCAAATATGATGTATGTTATTTGATAAACAATTATTTTGTTTTGTTCTTATTCTAATTTTATTGTTTTATTTAATGTTCATACTGAATTGAGGTCACTCAGAAATGTCAATTTCATTAAATTCTGTAACAAATGAGATGCAGATTAAATAGAAAATATATTACAGCTGTCTACACTGTATTTCTGTATTTTTGATGACTTTAAAGTACTTGTATTGCTGAAAATGTGTCACTTGGAAACTTACACAAAGTAAACAAAATGTTTTAATTTAGGATACTGCATATAAGGACTTAGTGAAGAACACAGAAACATCTTTAAAAGAAATGGCCCAATAGAAGGGAAGGAAAGAAGGAAGTACTCAGCATTGAAATATTGTTTTACAGAAATCCAAAGGTCCTAACAGCTCTCCTGATTGCGTCAAGGCTTCACTATCCTCGCTCACTATCCTTCTGCTCCCTCATTTATCAGAGGCACCACAGTAGAATGAATTAACAATTACTCTTCACTCACTGTGGCCAATTCACCAATACCGTACGCATGCCTTTGGACTGTGGGGGCAACTGGAGCACCCAGAGGAAACTCAAACAAACACTGGGAGAACTTTCAAACTTCACACAGAAACACCAACTGACCCAGTCAGGACTCGAACCAGTGACCTTCTTGCTGTGATGTGACAGTTTTAACCAGTGAGCCACTGTGCCACCCATGGACAAAACTATTTACGTTATGAGAGGCCGGCAAACATGGACATGCTACAGGTTGTGGAATGGCTGTTCTCAGTGTTTTGTCTAATAATTTTGCAAAGTTTTGGGTGCGATTAAGCTCTTTGTTCAATAACTTTTTTGAAAATTATATATAAAAATGGATGTTGCCCTGACCAATACATACATGTACCGTCAACTTGTTGAAATTGTAGTGTTATTTAATGGATGTTTGTGTATTGTTTCTATCTGCATTGTAATACATTTTTCATCACTTTAGAGATGTTTGAAAGTTAAGTTTTGCGTTTGTTCAATCAGTAAGCAAGCTTACAAATGTTTGTTATTAAGTGAAATCATTAGAACTAGATTGTTGAATGCCATTAAGCTGTTAATTATGTTTACTAACTAAATAGTAAAAATGTATAATGTTTAGAGGTAGATCTTATACAAAGTACGCAGAGGTGCAATTTTAAATATTATCTAAAACTTATTTTGTGAAGTAAATTGAATAAATTTAAACAATTTGAATTTTCTGCATTGGTTTTATTTTTTATTCAATAATAAATAACATTAATTCAATAATAAATAGAGAACCCCTAAAATGGGTTCTATATAGAACCATGTAACTTAAATTCAAAGAACCATTTGGGGTTCTATTTAATGAACCCTTAAATGGTTCTATTCATAACCTTTTTGGGGTTCCATATATGAAGCGCTTGAAAGAACCATTTGTGGTTCTATTTAATGAACCCTTAAAATGGTTCTATATAGAACCTTTTTGGGGTTCCATATATGAAGCGCTTGATAGAACCATTTTTGGTTCTATATAGAACCGTTTCTTTTAAGAGTGAACCCTGCATTTTTTACAGTGTGTTGTTTTGTGTTTTTCCCCCTCATACTGTTCTCCTACTTGTCTTTCACGTCCTTAGGTTCTGTTCATTGGTTCATTCACCTGTCAATCATTCAATCTTTGACATCACATTGACCTCATATCCTATTGTCAAAGACCACCCCAAATAAAAAAGCGCACCAGACTACTTTCCAATCCCTTCATTCGTCCCTTGGCACCCCTCTGTTGTTTATTGCGTGAATAGTTTTAACAAAATCACTTGTTGAATGCGCATTAACAATTCTGTGTGCATAAGATGTTGTTGCACATGCATTAAGTTTTGATGTTTTTGTGGTTACTTTTGTGAGCATGCAAATTTAGCCCAACTCGCTTTCTCAACATAAACTCAGTGTTACAAAATGACAGAAATCCAGACAACAGTCTGATGACCAATCACAACATTCCTTTAATAACAGATGACTGCTGTAGAAAAATATAAGACACAGGGTAAATGATTTATTTTAAAGATTAAATGTCTACCCCTCGTTAGACTTTAATAATCAACTATACTTAGACTTTAATGATTGACTATTTTGTACATTGTTATGGTTTTTAGTAACTTATTATTATTGTTACTTTCTCTTCATTTCATTTAATTACTTAATACATATGTTTTACTTTTATTTATTTATGCTCTATTTTTGGCCTTATTATTATTATTATTATTTTCTCTACCTTTATTTAACATCAATGTACATTGTCTTATTTTTCCATTCTTAGTAGGTACTGTACTAATGTCACCATGCATAACAATGGCATATATCCAAGTAAACTCTAAAGCAAAAAATGACAGCCAAAAATAACTTATAATGCAATGCACAATATGTGCAAACCATTATACTTGCATATATGCCATTCTTATCCATATAAATAGATTGAGTTTTAGTTTTAGCTTTATTATCCTTTCGTGTGTGTATGCCTATTGTCATTAGTACACTATGTCTCAAAATAAAATTTTGTTTTTACATAATGTTAACTCATGCAACGTGTGCATACTTTTTCACAAAAGTACAAACAATTAGAAAGATTTAGAAAAAAATAGATACCAACATAATTATAGGTAAACAGATGTCTCTGCCTTTTCTTGACCCCTAAAATTTCACCAGTTTGCCTCCTGGCTCCAGTAAAAGAGTCTTGGGCAAGAACATTTTGACAATGCTTTAAAAATATAGTCACTTGAGAGTTTAGTAGGGAATGAAAAATATTCACTTCCTCTTTCACCTACATTTCTTAGACATCATTCACATGACAGTCTGTTCCACTGTGCTGAAAATAATACTTGTCAAATGAACTTTTGCTTTATAAATCTACAAACCAGCAGACCCTGTAACCTGATGAAATACCCTATGTGAGTATTTCTGGGGATTATAGGATATTATAGCAGGAAGAATGACCATTATGTAAATTTAATAATGCAATCTCAGGAAAGTCTCGGGTTACGTATGCAACCATAGTTCCCTAATAGGATTGAGACTGTGTCCATTCAGAATGCTAAGAGAACACTTCTTTTATATGTCTTAAAGCACATTAAATTAATGTGAAATTGTGAAATCAATGAAATGTAATTGGACAATGATGTGACGACTTGTCAGACCATCAGGTATAAAAGCTGGAACTGAACATTCAGTTGTAACTTCAATCTTGCTTGAAAGAAGTAACAGGCAGGAGGAAGTATGGTGGTAGACGCAGTGTCTTGTTTCCTATCAGTTAACTAAGTTGAAATGTTCCCATTCAAGGGAACTTCAACACTGCGTCCAAACAGAACGTTAGGATCACTGCTTACTATACGAATACACACTTAGGTTATAAGAACTGGGAACCCCAGAAAGGGGGCCACATGCCGCACAAATCTACGTAGAGTAGACCAACAGTGCCACCATACAGATGTCTGAAAGGGCAGAGCCCAAAAGAGAGGCCATGGAGGCCACTATGACCCTTGTGGAATGGGTCCTTACCAGAGTGTTGCATGTTTCACAGTAACACATTACTGTACTCTAATTACAGTTTTTGTGAACGCAGTAATGTAACAAATGACATTTTAAATTCTTGTAATTTGATTAAAAGTACTTAAGTCAATGTAATTGCATTACTTTTGTTACTAATAAAAGTTTTTAGAAAAAAAAATCATTTAAATTACGTTTTCCACTGCAACGTCAGTTAATAAGCATGCGCTTTTAAATTGCTGGAGAACGCAAGATAAAATGGCTGCTTACCAGAGTGATTGATTCTCCAAGTGGAAATACAGACATTACTTTGAATTCATTAAGAGTTAAAACAAAAATATTGCTGTGAAATGCAGCATGTCTAGTCCCTAAAGAACCTTTAACTGCTTTTAATTTGACCAGCAACTTGTTCAAGAACTTGAACAGAAAGCATTCTATGACAGTACTCATTGCCAAGGAGGACACCTTAACAGGCTAAATTGGATTTTTGTGCAGGATCTGAAGTGAAGTTATCTTCTGACTTTGAATAGAAGCTTATCTTCTTATGGGGCTGTTCACATATCGTGCACAGCTTTCACGTGCATAAAGAAAATGGGCACTTGCAATTTCAAGGCACACCCAAATGAAAACATCTCCTCTTTTCAGCATGCAACAACCACACAGCAAGTCACGTGACAAGAACTGACCGATAAGCTTCATACTTTGTATGAAATATACACATTTCAGTAGACTTCTAGACATTTTGGGTAATCTATTTATGTTTAGACCTCACCTAGACTTCTCATGTCTCATTTTCTGCAGGATGTGCACAGCTTCAGGCATTTGGACTGAGAATGCTCTTCATGCTTTTCATTGGCCATATGCTTCAGAAGCTGGTTGCACAAATTGCACTTTGGCTTTTACTCAGGTAAGCTTGAGTATAGTTTGTGGAAATTACAGGTTTAATAAAGTGGATTGTATTTGATCTGGTTTTGTTGCCACACTGTAAAAAATAAAAAGTTGAGTAAACTTAAAATTCTAAAGCAACCGGCTGCAAAGAAATTTTGAGTTTACTCAACTTCAGTGGTTAAAGTTGTGCCAAATTATTTTTTTAAGTTGACTGTAATGGCTGGTTTAAGTCATGACAACTTTCAAGCCTAAGTTCATCTAACTTGTCATTATGAGTTTGCCTAAAATTAAACAGGGGTTGAGTAAACTGTAATAAATTAGTTGGCACAACTTAACAGAAGTTCAGTTAACTCAAAGCTGTGCAGCTGGTTGCCTTAATTTTTTAAGTTGATTTAATCTTTATCTTTTAATTCATAATTTTATGGAAATCTTATATCTGCGCTTCTCAAACAAATACCTGTATGACTCTAAGTATGAAGTTAAGAGATTACAAAACACACTATAAAACACAATATCAAAGAATATATTTATTGACAATTCTGCAAACAGCTTTCTGTCCAAATGAAATGTACTGCAGTCCAGTGAAGGAAAAGAGGCAACAAAAAGGTAAATCCTCAAATCCTATATTGCCTTTTAAGTGCTCGAGTTAAGCAAAAGTAATATTTAAAATGCTTGCACTATCAACATTTTTTTCAAAGTGCAAAAGTAATTAGTTTTGTCACGATATTTTAATTTTGTTACCCATCAGTTCTATAATTTTAAAAACGTCCATTTCCTGCTAACATTTGAGCGTTGTTGACCATGTTTTAAACACTGTTATATTGCCATTGTGTTCACATGCTCAACAGAAAAGACTGATTGGGCGTGAAGATCATCAGTTCACCAAACTCACTGCTGTTTACTGAGTGTAATCACAGATACAGGGACACTTAAGAATTTCACATTGATCAACTGGTCTGTGTATAAGCTGACACAAGTGTTACGCTGATGGATCCACTATGCGACGTTTTGAAACACTCCAGTTTGTGTGTGTGTGTGTGTGTGTGTGTGTGTGTGTGTGTGTGTGTGTGTGTATCTGTGTTTTCACTCCATGAACATCAGTGAAGAGCAGTGAAATGGTGAACTTCTCAGCCAATCACAGTCATTTATGTTGACCGCTTGAACACAACAGCCAATCTATCAATTGGTGGGAAATGGATGTTTTTAAAATTTGAAAATGTCCATCTCCATCTCTTTTGTGCAAATATCTTCTGGCTCTGTGTCCTGCAGTAAAAAGAAACATAAAAAGAGGATGAAAAACTATTTTTTACTGCTAAATCACAAACATCTCCAAAAAGCAAGGTAAAAAAAAGCAAAGGCAAAGCAACTTAATTTGGAAACTGAAGGTAGTAATGTCAGTAACACAGTCATTTATATACCTTCTATTTATAAAACCTTTCAGGTAACACTTTTATAATAATGAATCATTTATTAAGCATTAGCAAATAGTGAATTGATTATCCGTTAAGCATCAACTCTACATGAATAAACATTAGTAAGCTATTTAATAAGTACTAGTATCTAATAAATAAGTACTAGTATCTATTAAATAGATACTAGTACCTGATGAATAAGGACTAGTATCTAATACATAAGTACTAGTATCTATTAATTAGGTAGTAGCATCTCAGTAACAGGTACTAGTACCTAATGATTAACTACTAGTAGATAAAAAATATGCACTAGTCACAGCTGGAATACATACTAGTCAAAACTGAATAGTTGATATCTCAATT